TATATATATTCATTACTCCTTATTAATTCTCTGATACAGTTACTATCAATAACAATTATATTAGACTTATGGCATAAATATTTAGATATTGACACATATATTAGTTACATATATATACACACATATATTTGCCTAAATACATTTTGTTAATTTTTTATTTTACTTTTTGCAATGCTGGGGATTGAATTCAGGGTCTTGTGAATGGTAGAGAAATGTTCTATTGCTGAATTATATTCCCAGTGTCTCCCCCCCTCCTCTCTCTCTCCATATATATGCCTTTTGGAGACAAGGTCTCTTTGTAGCCCCAGTTGGCCTGAACCTGCTATGTCCATGCTGGCCATGAACTTACATAGATTGACCTGCCTCTGCCTCCCAAATCCTGGGATTAAAGGCATGCACCACCACACCCAGCGCTGGCTATATTTTTTAAAATGGAAGGAAAAAATAGAATTAAGGGAAGTTTTACCTATACAACAAGGAAAGTATGCTGAAGGGGATTTTTATGAATATATTTTGCTTCACAAACTTGTTTTGTATGTGTGATGGTCTCACTATGTAGCCCTGGCTGGTCTGGAACTTTCTATGTAGATCAGGCTGGCTTTGAATGTATAGTGCTCCACCTGCCTCTACCTCCTGAGTGCTGGAATTAAAGGTATATGCCACCATGCCTGGCCCCTTAAATATTACTTTTTAAAGTAATGCATATATTTATATATTTGTAAAGTCAATTAATTTCTAAAATGCAATCCCTCATGTAAAAATCAAATAAATGAAGCTTAATTATTAAGTTGGTGACAAGAGCCACCTAGAAAGAAACGAATCCAAATAATTATGTCTGCATTTGATTTTCAGGTTAAGAAAAAAATGCAAATAACTCAAACACTATCCATAATTGTAATGGGAGAGTGCTGGCTAAGAATCTTGGGCTACTGCATGTGTATTGTGGAATAAAGTAAATAAATTATTTTGTTTACATGGAGAATCAAAGTTTACTGTGGTAGAAAGAAGGTACAGATATAAGATGACAAAGTGGACAAAAACACCATTGTCCTGAATTTTAGCAGGATGTGTCAATATGAACCAATGATACTGTTATCTTAATAAAAGAAAAAAGGTAGTTCCTACCTCTCTAGTCAAAAAGTCCTAAAAAAAAATACAAGCCTACTAGCATTGAGCTTTCTAGTGCTCAGATTATGGCTTCTAAATACAGTTTCTCATTAAAAGGGCCTGTATCAGTTACTTTTCTTGTCATTGTGATAAAATACCTGAAAAACACAACTTAGGGGAAGATCTTCTTTCTTTCTTTATTTTTTGCTCATGATTTAGGAGAGCGGAGTCTGTAACAGTGTTGAAGGTATGGTAGCTGAAGTGGCTCATGGGTGGGACAGTGGGAGTAGAGTGTGAGGCAGCTGGTTACATCCATTGGTGGTCAGGAATCAGAGAGCTCTGGTTGGAACCTGGTGCTGGGCTAACACCCATAAGGCCTATTCACCAGTGACCAACTTCTTCCAGCTAGGCCCCATCTCCTAAAGTTCCACAACTTCCCCAAATACTACACCAGCTGGAAACCAAGTATTCAAACCATGAGACTGTGATGGACAATTGACACACAAATGATAACATTCTGTGCCTGGCTCCCAGTCTCAAAGTCATCCCATAATGCAACAAGCACTCAGTCCAACTTCCAAAGTCCCCATAGCCCTACAGTTACAACACTGTTCAAGAGTCCATAGCCTCTTCTGAAACTCAAGGTTAATCCCTTAGCTGTGAGCCCCTATCAAATAAAAAAGAAGTGACATACTTCCAACATATAGTGGTACAGAGTAAAGGTTCCCATTCCAAAAGGGAGGGAACTATGGAAAGACAGGATCATAGCAAAACCAAAATCTAGCATCATAAACATCAAACCCTGAAGCACCACATTCAGCATCTGGGGCTCCTGGTAACACCATCTGAAGTCCAACTAGCTTGGGGTGGGCTTCTCGTTTCTCAAGATCTGCTGCCTGAAGTACACACGTGCTTTCTCTTGGTCTAGTGCCACATAGTGCCTACAGTTATCCTTAGCAGTTGTCCCTCATTATTAGTGTCTCCAAATTTTCAAGGTCTCCACTGAAACTTAGATTTCACCTTCACTTCATGGACAGTCTATTCAGGAGCCCCATGCAGGAAATTTGACCCTATTATACACTGCTTGGCCTTAGCAGCTTTCTGGAATCATGGTGCAAGCCTTCAGAACCCTGTAACTCCTATTTTGCCTGCCTACAAATCCATCACTATGTGGTAAATGACAAGTTCTGCTGCAGCTCAAAATGTAGCCTGGTCCCCTTTCACTAAAGATAAAGTAACCACTTAGCTTTCCTGGTAGTACTTCCCCAGATGGCACTTTTAGGTCAGGGCACCCTATAGGCGCTATCTTTTCAGGTACTCTATTTTCAAAATGAATATGCATTTTTATGCACCAGCTCACTCCCTTTCCCTCTCCCTGTGACAGAGTCTCACTATGGATCTCAGGCTGGCCTGAAGCTCTCTATATAGCCAAGATGCATCTTGAGCTTGCAGTGATCTTCCTGCCTCAGTCTCCTGAGTGCTGGGTATCATAGGTATGAGTCTGTTTGCCTTTTCTTTTTCATCATGCCAGTCCTCTTCAACAGTTCACCACTTTGTCTATAGCTGCAACATTTGCAACTTTAGCTGGGTCCATGTTCCTTCCCTTGTCAGCACATTTTCACATTTTTCTGCTTCATTCCACCTTTTGCTCTGACTATAAACCCAACTGAAGGCTAGTCAGCAATAACAATGCTATATCCTGGATGCTGTATTTTTCTTGAAATTTCTTCTACCAGATACATTCATCCACTACTTTTGAATTCAGTCTCGCTCAAATGTCAAAGAAATGGGCAGAATGTGTCCAGGTTCTTTGTAAGAATGTAGCATGGATGGCTTCCAGTTCAGCTCCCAGTAGAGTCCTTCATGCCCTCTGAATCTCATGAGTACAGCCTTTACTCTGCATTTTTATTAACATTCTGGTCTTCCCACATTGCCGGCAAAATCACCTATTGAGCTTGGCTTACAGTATTCTAGAATTTCTTGAGCCTACAGCTCCAAACTCCTCCTGAACAGCCTGAAGTATCTGCTCTCTTACCCATTAAGAAAATCTATTGGTCCCTGATCTAGGCCATGAGCAATAATGACTGCTACACCATAAAACAAGGAACAACCCAACAGGAGAAAATGTCATCATCTGTGAAATATACGTAAGAAAAAATTGAACCTGAATTTGGTAAAATCTCTACGTTTAGCTAGATTTCTAGGAAAGGGATGGAGAAAAATGTTAATTGATACTTTTTGGATGCAATCAGCAAAATATAATTGTGGGAAAATTTAAAAACAAATGATTTGGGGTTTTCAACAAGTAAGTTTCAAGAGAAGAACTGAGAGAGAAGGAGATCCCATAGACTGAGAAACTTAGAGTATATACCAACCAAATGTAATCTGTGGGTCCTTTACTCAAATAAATTCAAGGAGAGAGAACAGAGGTAGGGGAGAGATAAAGAGGGAGAAAAGAAGAAAGGGTGAAGGAAGGAGAGAGGGAAAGAAAAAAAGATGAAGACGAGGAAGAGGGAAGAAGACAGGAGGGAGACAAGAGGGGAGGGAAGAGGGAGGTGAGAGGGGAGGCAGGGAAAGGAGGGGAAAGGAGAGAGGAGGGGAAGAGGGGAGAGAGGAGGGGGAGAGGGGAGATGAAAGGAGAGGAAAAGAGGAGAGAGGAAGACAAGAAAGAAGTGAGTGTGGAGAGACAACTGGGAAAATTTAAGAATATATAAAATATTTATTGATATCAAGGAATTATAAATTTATTTACATGTGAAAATCATAGTAGATTGTTTAAAATATCTTTGCCTATGAGAGAGACATACTATTTCATGACAAAATGGTACCATGTTAAGACACTATGCAAAAACAATACAAGTACAGATAAAATGAGACTGTCTCTATGTTGATAATCATCAACAATTGGGGATACAGGGACATTTACTGTGTTGTTTACTTTTGTATATATTTTGAAATTTTATAGTAAAAATAATTTTTTTACATGGAAGAAAATGTTAGAACTACTACCTAAGGAACTCTTTCAAACAACACATACCCCCTAAAGCTCAACTAATATCACTCAGCTTCCTGAAGGGCATATGGCCCTAAGCCCTGCTCTCTTTCTCTTTCTCTCTCTTTTCTCCCCCGTCTTTCTCACTCTGAGACTCACTGTAATTGTGATGGTAGTGACTGAGGAGCTGGCCTGATTTCTCAGATACTGATGCCCCCCTCCCAAAAAATAGGGTGAATCTGATCTGAAAGAGAAAAATATAGTCATTAATTTAATGGAAAGAATAGATTTAATAATGGATTTAGAAAAGAGAAAACTTCAAGAACCAAGTAAGAATTAGGGGAGAGGAAATAAAGGACTTTGTAAAAAGCATCCTTTCTTCCAGGAGAATTTTCTCTCTCGTCCTTATTAGGTTTGGTAAAAGCTTTATGTGTGTGTGTGTTTGTGTGTGTGTGTGTGTGTGTGTGTGTGTGTGTTTAGCTTTATGGCTTTTGGAAAGGCTACTTTCCACTTTCTCTTTCAGGATAAATAAGTACCAGTAAAAGAGGAAAGTGTATGGTTTCTTGTTAGGAAAAGGAATGGTGTGAGAAAAAGACTGGACATCCTAAGCTAATGGAAAGAGAGAAATGTGAAAATTTTTGCAACTAATTTGATTTTGGATGGGCCATTTAAGGAGGACTGTATGAAAAATAAAGGATAGGGGCCAGGCATAGTGGCACATGCCTTTAATCTCATCACCCGGGAGGTAGAGGCAGGTAGATCTGTGAGTTCCAGGCCAGCCTGGGCTATAATGTAAGACCCTAAAAAAGAAAGACAAAAGATAAAGAAAGGATAGGCATGTGACCCAAGGCTTTCCCATAACAGGATGTGTAATTTTCAGAACCTGGGTCTAGTTACTCACCCAGAGGGGGCTGCAGCATACCCCCACTCTTCTCACAGTTCCCAATAGGCTGGATTTCAGAGGAGTCAACCAGTCTCCAGAAGTCATTCTTGTTGTCACTGCCGTCAAGACGCAGACGGAGTCGGGCGCCTGTCAGTCCAACTACTGTGGCAATGCAGGTAGATGTGGTATTCCTGGGGTCCTGTGCTTCCAATTTCATGCTGATCTTGAATTCATTGCTTGGAGGTATGTAGGACTGAGGAGAACAAGCCATGGGGGGTTAGGCAGACAGAGAATAAACTACATTTCAATAGGCATGTTAAGAAATAGAACTTTAAATTATATGCTTTGGGCTAAAATTAGTTACAGTTGGGTCAAGAACAATCAAGTCTGGCTTACTTCCTAACATTTAGGAAAGGCCTCATAGAAATGAAGCATTAGAAAGACGAAGAAAAAAAGTTGACTTCTTCTGAAGCACCAAATATTGAGTCATCCCAGTGAAAGAAAGGGTAAGAGAAGTCTAGCTGCTCAAGTGCTTTCTGTGATATCCATCACATAGATTATTAGTTGATTTTTGTTCTTATTCTTATATTAACTTATAAATCAACTAGCAAAATTTATATATAATAAATTGTACAATCTGTAAATTCTGACATATGACATCATATGAGATGTGACTTATGACATCACCTCTACCTATGGAAGCATCACAGCAATCTTGGTAATGAACATGACTTTCACCTTTGAGTCCTCACATGCTCATTTGTGATTTCCTTCCCTGGCTTCTCCCAGAACCTCATGCCTAGGCAATCACTGGTCTACTTTCCACCACTCTGGATTGCTTTCTTTGCTTCCTAAGTCTTGGAATCAGGGAGGAATGCTTTTCTTTGTTTAGCTTTTAGAATCAGTGTAACTATTCTGATAGTCATCAATATTGTTGAATGTATCAATATAAGTGGAGTATACCTAATCTGAAATTCTAAAATACAAAATGCTCCAAATATGAAGCTTTAAGAATATTAACATGCTGGTATGAATAGAAAATTCCATATTTGGCCTTATATGATGTGTTGAAGTCAAAATATAGATAATTAAAAATAGTGTATAAAATTACCTTCAAAGCATGCATATAAAGTATATAAGAAACAATAATAAATTTCATGCTTGGGTCATATTCATAAGATACTTTATTAAATATGAAAATATTACAAAATTTGAAAAAATCTGAAATCTAAGACACTTCTGATTCCAAAAGTTTAAGTGACACTGGATCTGGTATTAGTTTCCTTATATTGCTGAGTAGTAAACTATCTGGTTTAGTTCTAGTTTGGGGCTATTATAAACATTTGGCTATAAATATTTACAAACAAATCTTTGTATGGAAATATACAAAATGTCCTGATGTCTATGGGTGATTAAGTCCAGAGTGCTACTCAAATACTAAAATCTATAGATACCCAAATTTTTTATACAAAATGGTGTAGTATTTGCACATATCCTATGTGCATCCTTCCATATACTTTTAGTTTCAGTTTTCTTGAGTCTGTTTCACTATGTAGTTCAGGCTGTCCTGGGAACTCACAATCCTCCTGTGTGCTGAGATTATAGAATATGCTGCCATGCTAGGCACTTAACATCTCTACATTGCCTATAATGAATACAATATAAAAGCTATGTAAATATTTGTTTTAGGTAATAATGACAAGAAAAATACCTTCTGTACAGGTCAGTATGGAATCATTTAAACCTAAATGGGTTTTGTTGTTGTTTATTTGTTTTTTGAGATAGTATCTCACACTGAAGCCAAGTCTGACCTGAAGTTTAATGTTGCTCAGGCCTCAAACTCACAGTGCTCTTACTGTCTCAGCCTCCCAAGTGCTGGGATTACAGATGTGCATCACCACACTTGGCTTTTCCCAAATAGTTCTGATTTGCTGTTCATTAAATTCACAGATACAGAACCCACAGATGGAGGGCCACTTTGTATTCTCTTGCATAAATACTTCAGAGTAGAATGGTTGAATGATACTGTACGTTTATGTTTAACTCATACATCAAAAAGTTAATTTCTTTAAAGTACATAATTCAACATTTTTAGTGTATTCAGTTATGCAAACACCATACTTATCTAATCTAACATTTTCATCATCCTCCAAACAAGAACTTCATAGTCATTAAGAGCCCCTTCCCACTTCCCTCTCACACAGTTCTCAGATATTTTGTTTCTATTCATTTGACTATTTTGCACATTTTCTACAGATGTAAATACATGTGTCCAATATGTGAATGGTTTTTTTCACTTAACTTAATGATTTCAAGATTCACCTATGCCATAGTATATATCAGTGCAGAATATTACATTATCTGGATACACTTTATTTTGCTTATTTATTAGTTGATGGAAATTTGGATTATTTACTCTTTGAGTATTATATGTGGCTAATGTTAGACAATTAATTGCAACTCTCCCTTGGGAAGCCCATACCCACACTTGGGTATGTCTTTCTTTCTGAGTGCCTCTCTCTTAACCTTCATGCTTAAAGTCGATAACAAAATATCCTTAATTAGATACCCAACTGCTTCATATTGGTTAATCTGAAGTTCTTTTCTTCATTAAATCCATGAATCCCAGTTTGTCCTGAGTTGAAGTCCTTATAGGGTTAGTAGAATTCCTTAGGCTGGTGAGGGTAACAGTATGGAGCTGTGCCTGTCCCCTCACAACTGAAAGAACCGTATCATCTGTAAAGAGGGATAATTTGACTTCGTTCAAATCATCTTTTATTTCTTTCTCTTGCCTAACTGCTCTGGCTAAAATTCCTAGTATTAGGCTAAGAGTTGTGACATCACAATTTCAAGATTTTTTATCTTGGAGAAAATGTGTTCAGTTTTTCCCCACTCAGTATTATGCTGGCTGTGAGTCTGTCATATATAGCATAAATTATGTTAAGGTATGATCCTTCTATATCTAATATGTTCAGGGCTTTCATCAGGAAGGACAGTGAATTTTATCACATGCTTTATTTGCATCTACTGAGATGATCACATGATTTTTATATTTCATCTCATTTATGCAGTATGTTTATTGAGTTGTACATATTTTGCACCATTATTACACCCCTGGAATGAAACCAACTTGATCATGGTTTTTGACATTCTGTTGTATTTAATTTATAAATATTTTGTTGAGGATATTTGCATCTATGTTCATCAGGGTTTTTGGTCTATAGTTTTCTTCTGTTGTAGTGTTTAACAGGTATTTCTGGCAAAACAGAATTAGTTTAGAAGGGTCCCTTCCACTTCAATATTTTTTATTTTAATTTTAAAAATCAGCATATCATATGTTAGATAGATGGCCTTATGGCATTTTTAAACAAAGTGTGTTTTTGTAGTTCCCCTTTTCTTCATCTCTCCCACTCCCCTGGTGCCTGTTCCCTTCCTGCAGTCTCCCCCCCCCATTCTTTTTTTCTTTCATGGTTTGAGAAGCATTAGTATTATCTTCTTTAGAAGTTTGATAATCTGGGATATGGTTCAGCTGGCAGAGTGCTTGCCTTTAATGCACAAAGCCCTAGGTTCAGTGCCCAGGACTGCATAAATTGGGTGTGATGGTGCACACCTATAGGTCTTGGCACTTGGGTTGAGGCAGGGAGATTGGAAGTTGAAGACCATCCTCTGCTATATAGCAAGCTTGAGACCAGCCTGGGATCCATAACACATACCCTTCTACCCCCAAAAAAGAAAATGAAAAAGTTTGATTAAATTCAGCAACAGTGAGAGTTTTTAAATACTAATTCAGTCTTTCAATCTTATTATTTATTATTGATCTGCTCTTTTTGGGGGGAAGGTGTGAATTTGTGTGGTAAAGGCACACATGTGTATGCACACATAGTCATGCTGAGGCCAGAAGAGGATGTCGGGTGTCTGGCTCTACCACTCTCCACCTTATTTTCTTGAGGCAGGGCCTCTCACTGAACTAGCAAGCCTCAGAGATCTTCCTGTCTCCACATCCCGTAGTGCTGGGCTTAGGGGCACACATGACCATGTACAGCTTTTTAAGTGAGTGTTGGGGATTCAAACTCAGGTCTTCATACTTGCTCAGCAAGTGCTCATATCTGCTAAACTATTTCTCTAGCTCCCTCTTGTGTTTTTTTTTTTTTTTAAATATCCTCTTAGTTTAACTTTGGTAGGTTATATATGTCCAGAAATTATATATGTCTATTTCACCTAGATTTTCCAGTTTATTAGCATAGTGGCATCTCTTACCTGTTGTTTGGTGCTTTTGCTTTGTTCTGTGCTTCTGACAATCTGATTATAGTATGTTGTAGTATGGACCTTTTCTGGTTATGTCCATTTGGGATTCTACACATGGATGTCCATGTGGTTCCCAAGATAAAAGAAGATTTCTGTTGTTATGCCATTGAATAGGTTTTCTTTGCCCATATCTTTCAATTAATTTTTATGTGTATTACTGTTTGGTCTGTATGTAAATGTACCTGTGTCATGCAATGCCCATGGAGGACAGAAGAGGGCATTGGATCCCCTGGAACTGGAGTTACTGACAGGTGTTAGCCACCATGTGGGTGCTTGGAACTGAACCTACCTGAGTCTTCTGTAAGAGCATCTAGTTCTCTTAACTGCGGAGCCATCTCTCCAGCTCCTATGCCCATTACTTTGATTTCTTCCAATTTAGGTATGCTGATAATCAGCATATTTGATCTTTTCATGGCGTCCTAAAGCTCTTGTATGCTTTCATAATCCTTTTTTTTTAAAATTTCTGTCTGAATGAAATATTTCAAAAGACCCATTTCCAAGCTCCAATATTCTTCCTTTTGCTTGTGGTTCTAGTCTATGGCTGAGGCTTCAAACTCAAATTTTTTTTTCTTTTGGTATTTTTGAGACAGGGTCTCTCTGTAGCCCTAGCTTGCCTGGAACTCTATGTAGACCAGGTTGGCCTTGATCTCACAGAGCTCTGCCTGCTTCTGACTCCAGAGTGCTGGGATTAAAGGCGTGCATCGCCATTCCTGGACAAACTCAATTTTTAATCTGATTTACAGAGCTCTTCATTTCTAATATTTCTGACTTGTTCTCTTTCAAAATCCCTATCTCTTTCTTGAATTTCACCCTCATACTCAGCATTATCTTCTAAATTTCATTTAACTGTTTACCTGACTTTCTGAGATCTCACTGAGCTTTTTTAAAAAAGTATTTTATTATTTTTGTTTTATGTATATGCATGTATTGCCTGCATGTATGTAAGTG